TTGTAATTTCACCAAAAAGAGTATTATGTTTCGTCACATATTGCCTATATGGGTTGATAAATTTGCTGGATAAATTAAACATTTTCTTTAATTAATAAAAATACCTTAGAAAACAGCCCAGAATTAGGAAAAAAATATGAATTTTTCAATATTACTTATATTAAATTAAATGTTGTTCATATTAAACTCCTGGATCCACAAAAATTCTTGCTAAATGTTGAAACTCATTGCTTGACATTTATATTCCACATATAAAAGCCAGTTAATGAAGAAATGCTTGGTAAATTTTGAAACTAATTGTATGGAGTTTCAAGTTAGCTTGTGGGGAGGGTTTTGTTAATTAAAATACAAAAAAGAGAGTTTATTTTTATTAAATTTATATTAACCATGTTTTTCTAATTTCCTGTTTTAAATGGAGAGGTTTTCAAAAGTTCTTAACTAACTTGTAATGAATGTATGCTTTTAAACTGATTGTTGATTTTAAATTTAGATTTATTTTATATGAATCTCTTGAGATGAAGACTGGGAAGTGTTGCAAATCATGCAAATTATTAGAAAACATTTGTTATACGGATATATTCAAAATTCAGATAAAGAGAGAGGGCGAAAGGGAGTAAGGTTTCCTTCTTGTATGCAAATAGAGACCAAAAACTGATGAAATGATTCATAATATATCACACCATTCTAATATTAATATAGTTTTTTACATATAGTCAAATGATAGAGTGCATGATATAACAATCATTTGTTTGTTGTATTTAATTATGGCAAAGCACACTAGAGCTATCTTCCTAAGGGGAGGGATGCCTTCGTGGAGGACTTTCTAAGGGAACTGATTCGTATACACGTTACACATGGGGAAAACCACGAAAACTCCCATGCAGCCAGCCCGTTCGCGGGATTCGAACCTCGGACCGAACTACCAGTGTTCAGCGACTTTACCGATCGGCGCTGGTGAGTTCGATATACCGTTGTCCTCACCATTATGTAAATTAGTTGGTTGTGTATTTACTCTGAGATTTTGAAAGTTTAGATAAGCTTCGTTTTGCTGTTATTATTATCACCAGCTCTCCCTATTTCCTGATTTAGCACTTTGCTAGTCTATATTTAAATACGCGCCGTTTACAATTTTGGACCAGCTTAAGTAGTTTATTTTCTGATAATGTCACATTATGTTGCCACGTTTAAAATCTAGGAATCATATTACGTTCTTTACATCGTATGCCTACATCATTCCCACAAACAGAGGATGTTCATTTGTCGCCCAAGTTGTGCCTCGCTGTTCAACGCGATTACTCGCTTCCAATCTAGTAAGGTCTACAAGACATTAATACAAGTTTCTAGAATCAGTAGAACCCTACAAAGTGAAAAATAATATGGATTTTTTCAACTTGAAATATTGTAAAACTTTCTTAAGAGAGCAAAAGCAATTGACATTTATTGAATGAATTGTAAATAATCTAATATATGCATTAGGTAAAAGTATTATTTACTGATTCAATATTATTAATATTTATAAGTGTTATAATATTGCTCGAAGAGTTGTCGTAAGTGTTGTGCCGCGAGAATAAAACTTGCAGCAACTGAATATGGTTGTTAGATGGCGTTAATGAAGACATGTATAAAGTCGCTCATCTAGAATAGATTATTTCGTGTTGTACGGTGAATGTAGTTAAAACATATTTTACTATTTGGCACAATGTCGCATTTTATGCAAATTAGTTGTTGGAGTAAAGATGTTTTTTTATTACCTCATGTCATATTATACTCTTATACTCATATACTATAAATTTTTTTTTTTTTTTTTTTTTTTTTTTTTTTTTTTTTACAAAACGCGTTTTTGTTAGTTACCCCGATGGTGTGTTAAAAAGAAATACTTTCTGTCGAGTGCATGTATAGTTTAAATTAGTAAACCCACATTTATTCTCAGATATATATACACGCGAAATACATTTACATGCGATAGGCCGAAACGGGATCAGATTGCATCATTGTTGGTGATTTTATCGAAAAGGACTAATTTCCCTTGAAAGGTCAGCCTTTTTGCTTGGAATAGACAATAATTAACTTTATTTAATTTCTTCTTTATATTTTTAAAATATAAATACATCGATTACAAAGTTTTATAATTTCTAAACTTTTAAACTCATTTTTTAGAAGGTACACTTTTAATAAGTTTTCAAAATTATAATAGTTTTTACTTTTCATTTCCATTGGAATAATCGATAGTAATAATTAAAATATATATCTATATATATATAATATTTATATAAATTTATACACACACGTTTGCATTATAAGATAACATTCTTCTGACCAAAAATAAAGAAAATAAACACCAGGTATGGATGTATCGTATCTGCTTATACCCTAATAATCTTAGATAGGTGCTTGCAGTAACTTCTAGGAAAGTTTTTGTTTTCGTTTCGAGGAAGATAATTTAATGAAACTTATGATAATTTTTGTGTAACTTCAAAAGTTAAAATGAAAATATATATATATATATATATAATGTATGCTTACCATCAGAATTAAAACAAGGAACAAGTTTGCAATTAGGAAATTCTTTTGTGCTGTAGATTTCTTCGATGGTAATTAAATAATACGAGACGAAACATCTGAAATTTTTCTCGCATAAATTCGAAGCATCTTCAATTCGGCAAATGAAGCAGAATTTTGAAAATCAAGAAGTTTTTCTCCCGCAATAATAAAAGTGCTGAAGAAGCTGACAGTACGTGAATAAAATATCAAGGAAAATTTGCTGATCTTTATAAAAGTGAGATTGAAATGGCAAAAGAGAATACATTCTAATGCATCATTACATACCAAAAGAAGCTCAAATACGAGAGTTTCAGTTGAAGTTGAAATACTTTTGGTATCCCAATTGCAAATTTTCTTTTGCGTGTATATTTTTCAATTGTTATGATCTCTGAGGAGTTACGCACGGCAGAAAAAAAAATTACGGAGTGTCAAAGAAAATTGTTTCATACTTCTTTTGTTTCGAGTGAGCGGCATTCATGTACACATAAAGTTGAACGATGACAACAAGAACTTTTCGTAAATTATTCATATGCACAATATGTTACATCGTTCTATTCCATTTTGTACGTTAAAGTGAAGTGAAATAAATTGTTTTGGGCTTCTGTAAAAAAACATCTTTTACGACTTTAAAACCTTCATATGCAACATTTAAAATTTTCCTAATACTTTTTTGTTGAAAATATGCTAATGTTAGAGCATTCTAATACATTTCAGAAAAAGTATCCCATGAATACAGAGCGGGCAGTATTTTGTAACATTTGGAATCTCATGCAAGATAGAATTAATATGGTTTTAACCCACTGATCGGCTCGGTGTTTTGGTAAGAAAGCTCAAATGTCCTAAACCTGCCCCGAGAAAGAGGCATTTTCTTGATTTTAATATTAAAATGTCCCCTGGCACTTTGTATATTTTGTATATTTCATTTTCTGCTATGACCTTAGAACTTTGTATATTTTAATGTTAAAATAACCCTTGGTACTTTGTATATACTGTATTTATATATTTTTAATGATTATTTTAATTTGTTGCCTATATTTCAAGATGAAGGAATGAATACTTTTTTAAGGAAGTCACCAATAATATCCTAGACCGTATATATACGGCCTTGCCTGTCAGAGGATTTTAAATGTTAAATTAACACTATGGGCCTCCGCATAACGTTAAAATAAAAAATTCCTATGCCCGTGCTGCACATACAAGAGCTGAATATTTTATTTTCTCACTTTTAAGTAAGGCAATTATCTCATTTTTCTTTCTTTTCTCCATCGACAGAGCTGTTGCATTGGGTTGAGCGCTCATCAGTTTGTTGGATTTAAAAAAAAACTTCTGCTCAGTGGAGTATCCACTGAGTATGTAAAGTTAGGAATACTGAAAGAAGCACCAGCACTAGGAAAAAAGTATATGATGGGGACATGGCTATTATAATGCAAAGTCAGGGTATAGATAAACGTACATAGAGAAAGATGAAATCAGAATAACATTTACAAGTTACAGATCAAGCAAGAAAACATTTAACAAATAAAGTTAACAAGAATTTACTTGGTTCTATACAGTGGCAATACAATGGACAATGAACTGAATGTGTTGCATGGGGCTTTGATATTATAAAGAACGGGCAACACTTGCTACAGTTTCATTAACGGCCATTATGAATGCCAATCTTATGTTGGGTTTTGTGAGGGTCATATACGGGTTCATACAGGTATCGTTAGCTTGAACTGTCACATAGGAAGACATACACACGCAGGCACATAAAACGCAGCAATCTTGGTGAAACTGTAATATTGTAATTTAAATTAATTATAACAGATAGATAATAAAGATACCATATGGCGCAGGTTTATCAGAAATGAATAATATGGGGTCAAAATGAATGCGAAGAAATGAAATTATGTCGGGTATTGGCCCAAGTCTTCTGCTATGACCTTAGCATTTTTGTTTAAAATTAGCATGACATTAGTCGAATGTTCTGCATGTAGCTCAATTTGAATGTCACATGTTTCTAAGCAATGAAAAGACTATACCATGAAAAGAGATTCCATGTAAGAAATGGTGCTCTCTGTGATAAAAATGGTGTCACATAATGGCCTATTTCGTGTTTTTGAATTAATAAATAAATTACTGTAAATTATATATTCAGTGTAACAGACTCTGCTCTGAAAAAGAAAAAAATGTGTACGAAGAAATGGAATGATTTCGTTCTGAAAAAATAATCACCTTATAACATTTTGTATAGTTTATATATAAAATATATTTTTATATGCAATACCATTTCAATTATGTGAATATTCTAAAGCTAAGCGAGAAATAGGTACAGAGAAATAAAACTATTTTGTATAGTATTGTAACACTTTGTTTAAGATTTTGTTATTAAGTTATTAATTAATCAAAACCCAAAGGTTATTTAAGTGTACCAATCTAACTTAAATCACATACAGTAAATTAATAAATCTACTTACTATGTACCGTAAATCGCACAACTGTACTAAGACCAGTTCCAACACCATTATTTGCTTCACACAAATAGGAACCCGCATCCGTTGGTTCCACACTACGAAAATTCAGTGAACCGTTTACTAGAATATGAATATGGGAGCTGCTAACTATCGTTTTAAACCTGTCTGGTGGATGATCTAGAATAATAGATAAACACAGATATAAAAGAAGAACTAATATATGGAAATTATTAAAGTTCGCTACTATAAATAAAATATGGAAATAGTAAATTTATAATGATAGCAGACACTTGAATTTTCTTATCACTTACAAAAATCTGTAAGAATTATATAATAATATCTTACAAATATATATATATATATATAATATCTTACAGATATATATATATTCAAAATAATCCCACGTCTCTCTCGCTTCCTTTAAACACACACACAAATACATAATCATATATGTGTATAATATATATATATATAGATATAGATTTGATGGTTTGGGAGAGTTGATTGCGATTATAATAGATTTGAAGTACAGAATAGTAGAAGCGTGCAGTCATGACCGATTTCATAGATTCATTTTATTTCAATTAAAATTTTATTCTGCGTCCATTAACAAATTGGCACATTAATCGTGCCCATTCCAGCGCATTACAATTGTGCCCATTACACTTTTGATACTATTGAGATAGGAGGGTCTTACTGCCAGCAGAAGCAGAATCAAATTTCGTAAGAAGCAGAACAAAATCTTAATTCAAAATGGATTAATTTCGATTTCATTTTGATTGCATAGTTAAAAATGCTGTAAAATTATTATTCGTTGAAAGCATATGTACTAAGTTATTTTCCTGAAAGCTTTATGTAAAAGTCATCTGACATAGATAAATATAGAAATGACGCAGTCCAGAAACATTTATTAATAATCAATTGCTACTATTAGAAGAGAAAGAGGAAATATTCAAATTAAAATGAAGAATTAAGGTATTGTTAATTTTAATTTACCTATTTGCAAAAACACACACATATATATAACTTGTTTAAATCCTAATCCAGTTAACAGAACGAATATATATTTTTTCGTTTCAAAACTTCTATTACTCTAATGTTACAGATTTTATGATCTAGCTCCGCATTTTATATTTTGCATTTTATAATCTTAGTTAAACTTTTCTATTTATTTTTTGTACTAAGTCCACAGAAATTGAAATTATCATTACTAGATTTTTAAACTTTTTTGTTTGGTTATGATTTTGTTGCTGTAATTTTTTTAAAGTTTTTAATTCGCCTTGTGTGGATCCAAAATTTACATATACTTTTTCACGTATTGTATTGCTTATATTTAAATGATTTTTTGGGGTTTCCATCTACTCAATAATATTTTTTTAATTATTTTTATTTGTTTGATGCTATAATTTTACAGTTTTTACACTGCTTGCTTTGGTATGTAGGGGTTGAACTCGTTAAGATACAGAATTTGAATTGATTTATGAGAATATTTTATATTTTAAACTTGAATTTGTATCCTTATTGGCTAAAAACATGCTGGTCATTTACTTTTTCCTTTGTACAAAACCCCTGACGACGATGCAGCGAATTACGTAAATCTCTTATTAAACTTTTGGTATTGATATGTTTTGCACACCTTTTCCTTCCAATTTTCAAGTGTGCTTGTATTTTTATTTATTTTTTTCCAGTAAGAAAACTTACTGCGTATTTGTTAACGAACAGGAAACCTGGCCGCCAAGGTAGCTAAAATAATAATTTTTATTTCAATTTACATTTTCGGAAAGAATTCTCTTATCACTCTTATCGTGCTTATTTCCAAACATTTACATGCTTATAAAGAGAAAGGTTGAAGTTTGTATCTAAGTACTTTATCATCACTATGTAAAGGTTGTATGCTATGATATGGATTATTTTAGGTATGACGCAGTGTAGAAAACGTTATTGCTACTTTTAGAATACAGAGGCGGAATAGAGGAATTAACGCTTTACCGCAAATTTAAATTATATTTTCATTTACATATTTTTATCTTACACACACATATATATATGTAAGATAAAAAATATATAAATCAAAATTATAATTTAAACTAACGGTAAAACTTTTAACTTTCCCTCTCTGTTCTAAAATTTGTAATAACTTCTTTGGATTGCTTCATTTCTGGATCACTCTATGGCGTGCGCAGCGCTGTTTAAGTAATGACGTAATAATTGAAAACTGATCTTTAAACCAAAACCTTTCTCTTCGTGTGCTTCCATCTTGCATTACTACGCACTTCAGCTTCCCTCTCTACCCTGCTATGATGTAACTTCAGTGTCTTGCTTGCTTTTGAAAGAATATCAAAAATGTAAATGTTTTGTAAAAAGGCACGAATAGTGCCAAGTGATTGTGGGCACAATTGTTCAAATGGAAAATAAAAATGGAATTAAAACCTCCTCAACTACTAAGTTCTTTAAATAGTACCAAGTAACATATTAGCATACTACACAATCAGAATGCTTCGTCTTCAATATGCCAACTACGTGCCTCGTCATCCCTATTTTCTGCCTTTTTACATCTCGGTGTTCCTACATCAGTATTTCTAAATTTTGCTATTATATCATATATATATTAAAACAATGAATATCTTCATATTAGTTTATTGTTTAACGAAACTAAATTGAACTGAGGTCAACCATTCTTCTGACGAACTCTCAGTTCACGGCAATTAATTATATTTAATCAAATTTTAAATTTAAATAGAGAATAATTTTTTACTCAGTTTTTTGCAAGAAACCAATTTTTGTCTAGCATTTTAAAATTAAATATTTCGGTCTGAGAAATGCATTATAATTTATTTTTAGCTTATATATATATCGGATTTACCACTAAGTGAAATATAATGCTCTAGCCAATTGGTCCTGCATTACAAAATGAAACGATTACTTTATATATAAACTTATGTTTACATTTTATCGTTCCTTATGTAATTTAAATTACGTTATGAGGCATTCGCCTACCTCTAACCACTTTTAATAGCTTCATCATTGTAACTAATGTCTTAATATCTCTTCTTTTAATTTTTTGGAGAGAAAAGCCTGTTACAATTTGAAAGATACAGTAAAAGTTTTGTAAATTCAGTTTGCTGTAAAGTGACAACTCTTGAAGCCCGCGCTTCATTTTTGCATTCTTTTAAGACTTTTCGAGAAGATTTTAAACTAAATATTCAAAACACAGAAAGCAGATACTCTATTACAAGAAAACCTTTAATTCAAAAGAAAATTATTCAAGAAGCACAAGAAGAACAATTTTTAGCAGGTGAGCTTCTAATCAAATTTCTGAATATTAAATTCGGAAAGCAACAGTTTCAGTTGGTTGTAACGTGCATTTTTAGCCCAGATTATATTGTTCAAAAGATACACAAACACACGTTCAAAATTTTTAACATAATAACATTACACCTATTTTGTCCATATATGTAATACTCACCTCTCTCTCTCTCTCTCTCTATATATATATATATGAAACTAAATTATTACGGACTTATTTAATACATGAAAAATTGCCGTATAATTCATTAATCGAAAACAAAATATATATTCACTAATTGAAGAAGCCAAAAAATTCCTCAGGAAATGCCTGGTGATTGCCATGATGTAAACAAGAAAGGATATGGCACCCATATGACTTATACATATATTATATCTTATGACAGATTACGCGTAAGAAAATTTAAAGCAACCGTACAAACCTGTTCTACAGTTACATGTAACGGCACTTATTTCTTTGTCGTTACTCGCAAAATGTGTTGAATATGAAAACGTTCAATTACGTTCATCACTGAATGCAGCTGTTCATCTTTCATTCTACCCAACTTATAGTCTATGAAAACTTAATGTCGTACATACTGTCTGACTGCACAGAAGTGGGTTCTTATAATGCTACCTACACGTCTATAAACAGAGCAATTATTTTTTCTTATTTCTAAGTGAAGATTAAACGTGAATTCCCATTCACTTCATGGGAATGATACGTCACGAAAGGCCAGCTGCTGGCGTTCCTGATGTTTGAGACACGCAAGTTGTTTTTGTGTTTCAAACAGTATTTGAGACACGCAACTATCACATGTGATAGAATAGCATAGCAAATTGTAACTCTGTGTATTACTTATGTTTCTTTAACTAAGAGAAGATATATTTGCATTCTACTTTCCACAATCGAATAAACGATACATGACTGAATTCCTGCAAATGCCCAACTGTATTTCAACCTCAATTTAAATTGTACTCAAATTAATATCTTAAACTTGCTTCCATATATTAAATATTCTTGCTCTACAAGAAAATATTTCTAACTTCTTATCATAGCGCTTGATTCTCGAGTAAGAACTTTACTTTTCTGTTGATATTGAAAACAAGGGCCTTTTTTCTCTTGTAATGAATTTTTTTTTACATTGATCTAGTTCATAATTTATTTGGAGGGAATATTATACTCTGTTAAAATTCTGAGCGATCAACTTAAACTCAAAATTTTAGATATTTATCACAGTTTATTTTGTTATGCATAAGAATTTGGAATATGTAATTAAAATTTATTGCTCCATATGCCTTAAATATAAAATATTACTATCATTTTAAAAAGGTTTCTAAATTTTAAATGATTTAAAGGTAATAAATATGATTCTTAACGTAAAGCAACCACAATAATTTACAACCTTTGGCCAGGGATATGCCTTTTACATTTAACAAAATTTATCCTTAAGAAAATACGGTGAGAACTTCTCATATTGTTATACGGTAAAGGTATTTTTTCATTAGATCATTCGACGGCAGTAGGCGTTACATGGCTCATTAATACTAATCAGAATAGTATATCATGGATTTTATTTCATGTAAAACTATTTTCAATATTGCAGAATATTGTAAGCAAATAAAAAATACCAAATGAATAAATTATATTAGAACCCAGAAAATCAGCATATCCACAAAGCTTGAGCTTCAAAATTGAGTCGGACGAATTCTTTACCTATAGGACTTTATTTAAATTTGTCTTACAATTAACTATTTTTGAAAATTGTATGTAAACTTAATAAACAATGTTACACCAGAGAGTTCTTGTTCAATATTTTCTTTTTTTAAACTTCTTTGGTTCTTATAACTTTAATTTATGATAAATTTCTTTATGAATATTTCATAGTTTAGTCGTTATATTTCATGGGAATAGTCGTTGGAAACTCAACGTATTAAAATGCAATGAAAAGAAATCTTGAAAGCAACTTTAAAGTTTACCTTTTCTAAATTGTTTGAAGGTGCAAAAATAGAAATAATATTTACACAGCTTTCATCTCACACCTTTCGATTTTCTATTCGATATAAATAATAGGCTTAAAATCGCCAGAAAGTCAATTTCTGATCTAGAAGAAAATTTATAAAACCATGATACGAGAAATTAATGGATTTTGATTACTTGGCAGGTTTAACAACTTTACTTTTCTAAAACATTCAAATATTTCTACTTTTTTTTCTTTTTATCCCCCTCTGAAACGGGTCTCAATTCACTATAGAAATGTTTTTCCCCTTTCATGAGCTGTTAAGACCTAACAAAAGAGAAAACATTCTTTTGTGTTCCCCAATCTCTCATTGGAAAACTTACAAAGACGACCCCCTAAAAGCCTGCTTTCAAAAGAGGCAGTTATTCCGATTGCAATGCCAGCTGAAAAGAAAACGGAAGTGCATTCCTATTTCTCGTTTTTTTAAGTGCATAAGATTTGCATGACCCCCACACAACTCTGCTGTACAGAGAGCGCGGAAAATTAGGCTATGAATCTTCTTTTTAATTTTCGCTGCATTCTCGGGGTTAAAAAAAAAACGAAATGACGAGAGGTTCTCGGGAGTAACAATTCAGGCCACATTTAACCCCGACGAGTGATATCTAGTTGCAAACGCCTGGCGATAATTTTGAAATCAAAATGTCAATCTCGTAAACAACGAAGCATTTGAAGAATTTTATAAAAGTGCTACAGAATGATTTTATAGTCAATTGCTACTTAAGTATTTTTCACCTGAGTTGCATTTTAATTTTTACTTAGAAACTGAAGAAATATGGTCATTTACATTCTCAAGCGTCTTAGGCAAACTAAAAGAAAGAACCGAAATCATAGTTATAATAATATTATTCTCTCCTGAAACGACCAAGTTTGCGAAGGTTCACTAGCACAGGAAAATACTTAAACAGTTTTAATTTTGTGAAAATATTTATTGTTAAATGAACCTAACTTATCCAAATTATCATAAATTATCAAATTAGACAAAAATGTTTTGCCATATTAAGTGGAAAACGTCCTTCTGTATAAATTCACAAGCGTGTAACATATATTTTATTTCTCTGACATAAGTTCTTTTCATTTCGGAAATAAAAATATCAAATTTCCTTCTTGAAATACCCAAATTTCTTGCGGTTTTAAACTAAAAAATATTTAACAGTATAGAGAAATGTAATTCGTCATCTCTATTTTCTTTTTTAGCGAAGTCTTTAAAGATGCACTGTTCCAGGCAGTATGTTTTTCGGATGATGGCAATATGTGTAACGAAGTCTGACTATGGATGCTTTTTGGCTGAATTTCCAATCACGGATGCATTGAAGATTGTAAATTCTGTGACATTTTTAAAAAGGTGACTTAAATTCGGTGAGGGTAGCAACTTTCTGTTGAGTCATTTTTATCCTTACACACGTCTTTCTTTATAGTCACTGTACCATACCACACCATACGTATTTGGGTGTCATAATAACACTTTATTTGTAAAAAAATATTCAAAACCAAAATTTCAGAGTTCTCAAATATCTTTACTAATGTGATCATTTAACTTTTCATGCATAAGCTATTTTTAATGAAACTTCTTGTACTCTTAAATGATACTCACGATACGAGGAATTTTCATCACGACAATATGGTTGCATTATTTTCCTACGGAAATCCGTTTTCTAATTTAATTTAAAGTTAGGAATATGTCTCAGTAATCTCTACAGGTAGTAATCATGAATATATTTTTACTTCATCCTTTTAAAATATTACTATCGAAAATATATTGATACTTGCTTTCACTTTATGTGTGAAATATTCTTTTAAGCGTCAGTTGCCTTTTAGAAGTATCGAATGTCAGAGATTTTTCTGCTAAAAATCTCAAGATTTTTAGGAATAGTACTTTTAAAAGATTGAATTCATTAATGAATTTAAGCAACAGTTTATCAAAATAATTTTTCAGTTGCATAAATTGAACACACACACAAACATATATACATAAACACACACATATTTTTATAACATCGTGAGTATTTCTTTCATAGAAAATCTTAATTGCTTTCCTTTTCTCAAATGAACTATCATTTATCCCAGATTTCCCTTTAATAAACGATAGTAGAAGGAAAGAAATCATATCCCAAGCAGCTGCACTGTTCACTTAACGATAATCATTTTAAATTAATTCTAGAAGCAGCTTATAAATCACCTGCTTCGCCACTTGAATCAACAGAAAAACAAGCTGCTATCTATTCTCTCCTTTCTTTCCCAACATATCTGAACAAGGCTTTTGAAAATGGGAAGAGAGAAAAGTAGGTACCTGTAGCGACTTTCCAGCGTACGTGTGGTTGTGGCACACCATCGGCTTGGCAATCAATTATCGCTGATCGACCAGCTACCGCATACGTGTCGCTCGGCTCCAGGATCCAACGAGGAGGAACTGATCAAAGAAAGCACAAGTTCATGATATTTTTCTTCACTTATTTATCTGAAATATTTGATATATTTTGTTTCGCTTTTCTTCGAATTCCCAACGACCATTATTATTTTTTTACTATTTATTTGTGAGTTTTATTAAATAATCATCAAGTACACTTTTCTGTGTTCTTTATTTTCACCTTAGACAATCATTGATTTAAGGATATGAAATATATTTTGTATTATAGTTCAACTTTAAGTTATAATACTTTACCTTTCTTCTCGGTCTATTATTGAGTAAGGATAGCAATAAGTTGTAACTAAGAATCTCAGCATAACCAAGAACAGGGATTCCCAACTTTATTTCGCATCGACTGCTTTTAAAAGAATAGCTTTCCTCATCGATCTCCTTACAATTTTCTCTGTGATATGCAGAATATATTATAATTATAATATGAATGATTGCTTATAAATAACTTCAAGATAATTAGATTAAGAATATGAATTAAAGTTGTGGGTCAAAAGTGGTTTACTAAATTTAACTTTAATTATTTTTATAATCATATTACTTTTAATTTTAAAATTATATAAAATTTTCAAAAAAAAAAAATCACAGTTTCTAATTTCACAAAAAATTTATTTTAATTAATGTGATAGCTGCGCTTGACATACTGATTCAATATTTTTTTAATTTGACGTAAAATTGCTTAATTTAATACTTAAATTACTGAACAAATATTAAACCTGCATCTTGTTTTCCGAAGTAAAGTTATTGACTTGGCTAAAACCTACTTCCACTAGGCAAAAAGAGAACGTCAAATGTTGGCTTGATAACGACATTTATAATGAGATTTTTTTTTCAAATGTCTTTTACATTGCAAAACTTCGCTAACCCGTGTATTTTTTTGAAAAAAAAAAAAAAAAAAAAAAAACGCTTATTCCTGAACATTTTTTTAATGCAATCAAAGCTTCTTGCCTCATAACATCAGGAGCAGATATATCGAAGTTTTAGTGTATATTTTCTCTTACATTTTTATAGGATTTCTTCCCTATTATATGATATAGCATACTATCATTAAATATTTAGCTATCAGTTTATATATATATGTAAAAATTTAATCAATAGGATATCTATTATGCCGATCAGTGGCCCATACATTTTAGGCTATCAACTCCTAACTGACCTCTTGATTACCTTCTTTAACATTCTTCGACCCCCAGGGGTCAATAGTGACTCACGTTGGGAACCCCTGCCCCACAAACACAGCTTATTTAAAAATTGTTAAGAAATAAATTTACAAAAATTTAAACTTGAAAGTGATGCATACTAATAAATCCATTTGTTTCGTATCTTTGAATTTTTTAAAATTATCATTAAAAGAATATTAATCACATATAGCTTTATAAGGTATTTCTATCGCGTTCTTAGCACGCCTTCTTGGTGTAATGGTCAGCCCACTCGGCGCGTATTCGAGTCCCAGCTAGGGTATTGCTCATTTTTCTTGTCCCCTGATTCGAAATAACCTAATATCTCTACAGTGGTACCCTAACTAAAATGGATGGTGGATGATGATACTTCACCACGAGGATTTGGCAACTGGGTCCCCCATTCACCAGTCGTCCTTTAAAGGGAGAATATAGGGATTTTCCTCCCTCCTTAAAGCATTCCTTAGTCAGCACCCTCGGCGTCCCTAATAGTCAGCACCCTCGGCGTGTATTCAAGAGTTCCAAATTTCGAGTCCCGGCAGGGGTATTGCTCATTTTACTTGTCTCCTACTTAAAAGAAAATCTAATGTCTCTACAGTGGATTATTTTTCATGTCTAGGATGGTAGAAGAGGGTACAACTCTCAGGGACCATCACAAGATGAATTATGACGTGTAAAAAGCAACGCTGAAGGAAATAGAAAATAAAAGTCTCAAAATAGGACTTACTAATTCGATCGATTTCTGGATAAAACTAACCTAAATAATCCAACAAAGCAGCGGTTTATACTCAGCAGCTAATATTAGCTATTAATATTGCAACAAACGTATCATAAAAAGCATTTAAAGATGCAGAGAAATCACGGAGAGGTAACCATACTTGTCCTAAATCTCATCACCCATGGTGGTGCATAGAATTCTCAATTCAGGGGAAAAAGTAAGAGCGTGCAGGAGGAGATGCCAGACCAAACCTGGAACGAGAAGGAAGAGAGCAAGACTTGCGGAGCGGAAGCAGAAACAGCACTACATCTATGTTTACCTGCTGCATTCAATGTATTGAGGAAGGAAACCCTTCCAGGTTTTGCAGCAACATTTATCAAAACGAATCTAGAACTCCAACTCTGCAATTGGGATAGGTAAAAAAGTGCAAAATATATTGGACAACAAAGAGCTACTGTTTGCGAAAATAGCGTCCTCTGTCCATCTGCATAAATAATGAAAATGACAGAATGTGAAAAATCGACTTTCCATTTGTATAACCATAACGTAGAGAAAAAACTTTATAGATATTGCGAAAATTTCTTTCATTGTTAGTTTCTGTGTAACTTTGTTTTGTATCCTATGTTTCTAAAAAAGGACTAGTGGGTCCCAAAAATTGTAAGGTTAACAAATCTTCTACTAAGGGATGTGTCGTGTCCGGCACCCGTTTGGCCTTGACAGGCTACATTATACTAGCGTACGTGCGGGGAATTGTTTCAACTTTTTATTTGGCAAAAAGTATTAAAATTTAACTCCCTCTCGCAATGCTCTTCATTAAATGACCGGAGGGTGTTGCATTAAAGTTTAGTCAGTTAATGTAATCATTTAAATCCTCCTGAGTTCATCTACTCTACTGGCTGGGATATGTACCCTCACAGCCTCGGCTCTAGGGGTACAGAAAGAGGCGCAGCCCCCCATCCACCTAATTGATTTGATTTTATGACTTTTCTAGGGGGAGGCGCCAAGTTAAAAACCACATAATAAAATACGCCCATTAGGATTTAACCTAATGGACCTTAACGGCACAATAATTAAAATAAATAGAATCAATGGTTAGAAACTAACTAAACAAAAGGACAAAAACACAAGACACAGACCATGCTCTAAAAACACTAAACACATGTTAAATCAAAATTCCGACATTAACACGATTATTATTAATAAAATTCATTAATTCCCTAGCAAATTCAAATTCAGTGTTTTTTCCAGTAAATGTATTAATATGTCCAAACTTTTTTCTTATATCATAAGTAAAATCACATTCATTTACAAAATGTTTAACTGATCCGTAACTCCACAATTATAACATAACTCATTTTCTTGTAGACCGAATCTCTTTAGGTACTCCGGGAAGCGTCCATGTCCTGTGATAATTTGATTAAGATCCAAGCAGTATGAAATACATTTATTATACGTAGGGATCAAATTATAACTGTAATCCTTTTTTCTATCAGACTCATTCCAATCCTTTTTCCACATATCAATATAAAATTGTTTTATTTTATTTACAAGAATTCTTCTGGATGGTTGGACAATGGAACACTCCCCGGATTCGCCCAAAACTGCCTCCTTGGCCAACACATCGCGCTTTCGTTACCCAAAATCCCAACATGGGACTTAACCCATTTAAATTTCACAACATAAATTTTGATGATTTCTTCATAGAGACATTTAATATCAACAATTAATGAGTTTTTACATTCGTAATTATTTAAGGCCTGGAGACCAGACAGACAATCACTATAAATTGATATTTTATAATGTATAAATAGGTTATCCTTTATCCATCTCAAAGCATAAAAAAAAATAGCTGTCAATTTCTGCCTGCCTGGAACAGTGAATTAAAAATTTTCCAATTTAATTTTATCATTGTAATTTCAGTACCATAGTAATATACAACATAAGAAAAACCTATCTTACCATCGATTCCAGAACCATCTGTAAAAATGTCAATTTTACCAAATTCAACAAAATGAAATTCATAAGCGGCTCTAGGGGTATAAAATACACAGACCTGGCTTTTGACACCTAAAATTTAGATATTAACACAGTATAAATACAATCGTATCCAGGTATCCAAATGAGCAGCCAGCGATGTCCTGAAGGGTACGTGATTCAGCTGTCCGAGTAGAGGGGCGACGCTGGGTCCCATTCTATTTTTCGCTCCGTGATCTGCGTGGTTCGTTGAGCTCTGCGAGTCTACGACTACAGTTTAATATGGAGTGATTCATTTGGTGCGAGTTGCAGTGCGGTTCTTGATGACAAGAGGAGCAAGTACACATAAATAAATTTTTTGATACAAAATATTTTTTTAACCCTTGTAAAATATATCTTTAACTGATGTCATGCACTCAACAGCACCTACAGTCTATTATGAGAGGTAGGAAGAAAGCGGATACGATATCGCGCAACTCGTTTTTTGTTAAAATTTTTTATTCTAGGTAAACTCAAATATCCATTTCATAGCTGTATATTTAAAGTAATGGATAAAAATTTTGCTACACAATTTAATAGTTTACTTTTTTAATTAATTTGTAATTGGTTTTAAATTTGATTTTTAAATTTTTTATCACATGATGCATTAGTCATCACATGCTGTAAGATGAAGCACATGTTGACAACTGAGATCTTATTAGTTGTTAGGTAGAAAATAGTTTTGTTTTTTTAAAACACAGACGATTATTAAAACGAATCCAATTCAAAATTCGATTATAAATTTTCTGCAAAATTCTAAAATTGATGTGTTGCATTGGAATAGCATATCACACTGTAATAGTACCATATTACACTGATTTTGTATGAATGACCATTTCAGTAAATAAATAAATATGCTACACATTTTTAATTTTTACCTAAAAATTTCATATTTTAAAAGATTAACATATCAATTGACTTTGTTCTCAGCAAAGTCAAAATCTTGATTCCTGAAAAGGAATTTCATTGAAACATTTAATTTATTACAATCGCTGATTGCTAGTATTATTTACACCCTTTAAAATAATTTTTAACACAGTAATACGGAAATAACATATTATCTCTTGAAAGAAAACACGAAAAGT